TAGTGAAACAGAACCTAAATCCAGGTCTTGATTCCAGATCCTGTGCTTTTTTTCCTGATGAAGTTTTTACAAGACCTACTGAATGAGATTAGTTTTTCTCAGAATAAAATAACTCAGAGGCATGCACCATTTGTTGGTGACCCAAAACCTGCATTCACAAAAAAGGCTATCAAATGAAGAATTATTAAAAACACTCCACAAACACAAACGAGTATTTTGTAGATAAAATTAATGTAGACAGCAGTGATACAAAGAAATAACATGTAACAAATGTTCAGTTCAAATAAACACTATGCAGAACTATATTTTCAGAAAGATGCCAGATCACCTCTACTTTTAAAACTCTCCTTGATAATAAAGACTATCTTTGAACAGTAAAGATTTGCCATAATTTTACTCAGTGCACAAGTACATGCATAAAGATCCTTTTTAAAATGTATGCATAACTATATTATAAAATATAAGGAATATTTTTCTCTCATCTTAGCTATAAAATATTACCCTAGTAAATGTTTACTTCTTGACTGAAAAGTAATTATCCCAGTGATTTCTCTACAACACCAAACTTGTTAACATGTTAGTTACATACAACTTCATAGCATCAACAGATTTCAGAGGTTGGTTTCCAATCACAGTTTCAGCACTCAGTTGCTATGTAATTTTGGGTAAGTCGCTTTCCAAATAAATGATTACTTACCTAAAGTCACTGTCTCTATTGAAATGAAATAAGATTATCTGACTTCCCATTTTACAAGGTTGGAATCCAAAGAACAGAAAAATACTTTGAAAACCGTTAAGGTTATGGCAAACATATAAATCAGGAAAATAAGCCAATTTTGGGGGGGAATATATATATAAAAATATGAACTTTAAATTATTCCTTTATAGGGACTCAATCTTACTATTATGGAATTGCTTAAAAGACTTCTCTAAAATAGAATTAAACTAATGCAGAACTTGCTAATTAGAAACGGTTTTTGAAGTGTTAAGTGTTGAACATTTACTGTACTCCCTAGGTGACTTTAAGAGACAAAGAAAAGGTATTTTTCCTATTCTCATGAGATCTATGGCCCAGGGGAGTGGAAGAGACCTGAAAAGTTAAATGAAACACCCAAACACTTCAGTATAAAAATAGAAGGCATCTCATTAAGCAGTAATTGATTAACAGCTAAAAGAAAGTACCATTGACTGCTTTGAAAGTTAAGAAGATTACCTTAGCTTTATCCTTTATTCACGTGTACTTCACTTATGTTCAGGTTAATCATTCAAACAAAATACCTTCAATTCTATTCTATACTGGTACCCCTTTCCTTGACTTGTCCCAACAGCTCTCTATCCCTAGCCAGAGTACCCAGTCAACCTTCTCAGATACTATAATTCTAGGCATATACATTCCCCAAGTTCCCAGTATTCAATAAGCCTTAGGATCCAAGATGAGTCAATTTTCTAACTTTTGATTATGCTGTAACCCTTCACATAATCAAACAATAATCACACGGAGTCTGTCAAGGCAATGTGACTACTAAAAATGTCAGTAAGAGCCCATATTCCACCTCTCTCAACCGCTACAGCCAGACACTTGAGTAAAAAGCAGTGCAGAGTCGTGAATAACATGACACAACATTATTTCAGTCATCAGAAAATAAGCACGCATTCATAATCCATCTGTTCCTAAATCTTAACCTCCTTCCATCTAGTCAAATCAACAGTTAATAGTGTAAGACCCCCATTAGGTAAGAGAGGAAAAAGCAAGCAGAAAATCTACAAGAGTTATTTAACATCTCTAGAACTATTACAATTAAATGGAGATGTTTCTTTAACTCCTGCCATTTTTAAGTATTGTCAGAAGCCCACCATTCTCTAAGAACGCTTTCTTAAAACATAATCTAACCATTATCTTGGTAATTTGCGACTTCCTTCTAGGAAGAAATGGTAGGGAAAAAAAGAAAAAAAAAAAACAAGAAAATCTCAAAGGCTCAAATAAGTTTGAAAACCACAACCTTTAACTATATATTGAAGAACAACTTTGGCAGTATTAGAGTAGAGCATCCCCAGCATTACAGATGTTGACAGAATACTGATACTCATCCCCACTGTTTTACTTCATCCACCTTAGTGTGTGATTCAAAAATTATTTTCTATGTGTACCAAATGAGAAAAGGTTGGGAATACATTAAAGGAGTTAAAACCTCAACTTCAAAATACTCTCCAGTGAAAAAGCCGAAGTCTACCCTTACTTGATGTTGATTCTGAAGACTATTTCCTTTTTATCAAGTAATCAAATCCTGTACTACATTTCTATAATTTGTATGTTTTAAAAATAGTTCTTCTTACAGCTTAAGTCATCTTCTCAGCAGCAATAATATCCTGGCGTAAGATAAAGAAATCTGAAAACTTTTTGGGTAAGGACGTGGTCAGAGCAGCATTTGTGTATAGTATACTTTTTTCCTAAGCACGCCAACTGAAATCCCCAAAATATCCATCTCCTAACTCCCTTCCATGCTTTCTCTTCGTAGCATTATCACCTTCTAATACAATATGCAATTAATTTAAGTATTTGGTTCTTATCTGTCTCTCCCAACTAGACTATTATATCCATGAGAGCAGAAATCCTTGTCTGCTTTTTTGTTCACTGCTCTATCTCCAGCACCCTGATCAGTACCAGACACAGTAGGCCCTTGAAAAATAATTTATGAGTGAATAAACAAATTTTGTAATTTGGTTGCAGTTTTATATGTAGTTCAGTTGTTTTGAAGAGTTCAATTTTGCTATTAAGGGGTGGCTGGCTGGTTCAGTTGGTAGAGCATGCAACTCCTGATCTTGGGGTTTTGAGTTCGAGCCCCACATTGGTTGTAGAGATTACTTTAAAAAAATAAAAATCTTTAAAACAAAATTTTGCTATTAAGATGGTCAGGAAAAAATTTTGTTCACCAAAGACAGAATAACCACAAAGAAGTGTTTCAAAAAGCTTGATTTATCTACATTAAAATTATTTTTCAAGATTCTACCAGAAAACCTGTATCAGATATTTCAAAAATACAAAAAGGATTTAGTTTTAATTAAAATAGGAAGCATCAGTTTTCCATTCCTCTAATCAGAAGACACAAAGGAATAAAGGGTGGTAAGACAGTCAGAGGTAATACTTGGAACACAGAAAAATGCAGTATTTCACTGGCAAGTAGGTTTTTTTTTTTCCATTACTTAAGTAGCCATGTAAAATTCAAGATTATCAACATTCAGTTCTGTACTGACTCAGTTCTGTACTCATTTTTTTCTCTTAAAAACGCAAATCTGCCTTTTTTCAGACCCTTGAAGTCTGAATCTAACCAGCTAATTAGTTATCCCTGTATTTTCTTGTCAAATATAATCACAAGTATTGTGGATTTTAACGATAATTTTCAGTCTTAAAACAGTTTTAATCTTAATACAAATAATCTTAGTCTTATACATCTACTATTCAACTATTGTTCCACAGTTCCTTTTTTGGGCTCAAATGACGAAACTTCTCTAACGTCTCTGGGGAGACCAGTGTAAAGTATGTTTCCTCAAATTGTTTTTTCCCTGCACCGTTTTTGTGACATCCCTTCAAGTAGGAAAGTTAGACATTTTTCTATTCTGCAGGAAAGTCCAGAGGAAGAAGCAAAGGTAAAAAGAATATCGCAAGGAAAACAGGCTGAAAGGGGACAGGTAACACAAAGGCACAGAAGTAAATGTGAAGCAAATATGTGTGCAAAAGAGGAAGATGCAGAAAAGAGAAGAAAAACTGTTCTCGCCTAGAAATGAGGGAAAAAAACGTAGGGTGGAGAGGATAGGAAGACTTGCTCATTCTTCCAGAAACAAATGCACTAAATCCTTCTAAGAAAAACGTAGATCTCTTTAAGATGTTAAAACTCTAAAAAGCACTCAGCTGCCACTCCAAACAACAGTTCTACCTTCTCTTCCTACATGTTCTCATTAGAGCTAAGTCTTCATCTGTAAAATTAAATGCAAGCTATAGATAATGCAGAGTCAATCTCTACAAAACTGCAGTTGTGGTTGCCATCTTCGCCTGAAAAAAAAATTCAAACTCCTTGGGTTTGGGAAAAAGAAGTATATTAAGTTGGAAAGCCAGAAAACCCTGAACTGCTAAGTCAGGTAGATAAACGCCTCCTACCAAACTAAGATTCCACTAAAGATCTAGGGAAGAAGGGCAAAGGACTGTAGCCTTACCGCGACCACAAGGGTGGGGCACCGTAGGAAAAAAAATTTTTTTTGAGGGCGAGCTATCCCGGAGGTATAAGGGGGCTGGTGACTCAGATCTCGGGAAGATGGCATATTAGGCGGCAAATGATGTTGATGGGCCATGGGCAGCTTCGGGAAGAGCGACAAAGTGAGCTGCCAGACCAGCGTTCGTGGAGAATGCGAAGACTAACAGAGAAAGGTACCCACGGGGCAAAGGATTAAGAGTCAAAGAAAGGAGAGCCGAGAGGCCGAGCAGTCAGGGAAGCTGGGCGTGGGAGGCCTGAGTAGAGGCCGCGAAGAGCTTTTGCAGCCAGCCGCCCTCTCTCGGAACGCCTTTCAGCTCCCCCACACTCAGCCCCTCTCAGGGCCGCCCTTGCCCCAGCGACACGGCGAGAGCAGCTGTTTCCGCCCGGCCGGGGACAGCGGAGAAGGCATCCCTGGGGCGGGCGGGCAGGCCAGCGTCTATTAAGCAAGAGGTGATTCCGAGACCACTGCCGCCGAGTCAACGCCAAACTTCGCCCTTTCCTCCTCTTAGCCTCTTTATCCCCCAACTTCCCGGCCGGCTGGTGTCCGCTTCGACCGACCGAGGACCCCCCTCCCCCGCCCTTCTCGCCACCTCTCACCCCTCCCCAACGTCCTGAAGCTCGGAAAGGACTGGCCACCAGGACCGCTCCCGAGCCCGTCCGGGTGCCCCAGAGTCCCAGACGCCGCCCCCGACAAAACGCTTGCGTCTTCTCGGCGGCTCCCTCGCCCGCCCAGATGCTGCAAACTCCTCTCACCTGCATTGACGCCATGATGGAACCATCCCCCCAAGGCCGGCGAGGCCAGAGACGCAGGGGGCGGAGCTGCCGTGCTCGCGTCACGCCGCGGGGGCCCAGCATCCTGGGCGCCGGGGGCGGGGCCTCCGGTGGGAAGGGGACGGCGGGAGGGGATTGGCTGGCGCGCTGGGCCTTAGGGGGGGAGGGGCAGGCGGGAGCGCGGTAAATGGCGTTGTTGGTACCCTCAGTCACATCCAATTCTCTGGCGTCCGCCGCTACCTCACCTAGCTATTCCGGTCGCCTAAGAAACGCCGCTCCTGGTCTGACCTGGCCACGGTTGTCGTTTTTTTCTCTGTATACCGTAAGATCTTGATGATCTCCAATCCCGTGGGTTTTTCTTTTTGTTTTGTTTTTCCAACCACAGGTGTATGGTTTGAAGATTTTTTTTCCCTTTCGGATGTCTTCTCCACACCACCATGCCCACTTTCACACCCTTCGGGCGGATACCACTTTCCGTGGGGCTGCATTTTGATCTTTACGGTCTGGAAGGCTTCTCATATTCCTAATTTGGGAGAGAAAGACACAGATTTCTTTGTACAATGAGATGAGGATTGAGAGCAAAACAATACATTGATATTTTAAAGGCAAGGGTAGATTTGTAGAGCTGAAACTTATCTGAAAGGGAAGAGAAATGTTTGAAGTTTTTCTTTCGTTCGTATGCTGTTGTCTACCCTTTACCCCAACCTGTCAGTTTTAAACTTCACCGGTGTCAGTAACAGTTATGGTTGTTATGGCATTCACATTTGTTTAGAGATTTGACCCTAGACGTGATTTTTTTTTTAATGTAACAATGCATCTTGTAGTATACACTTAACACCTTCTATAACATCTGGACTTCTCTTCAGCCTGTTTCATGGCAGTTTTGCGGTCGTTCGATCTAGGGATGTATTTGAATAGGGAAAGCTGAGCATTCAGAATTTATTCTGGGAATGCACCAGTTCTGTCAACATTTATCAGGAGCCACATTTTAAAAAGCTATCCCAAAACTGAAGATATCATTGGTTAAGAGGAAAATGGAAGCCAAAGGCTTGCACCTCGTGTTCTTGTGCTATCTTTTAAAGATTTAAATGGCTGATACATTGAGTAGAAGGCTTTTACTTTAGCAGAACAAAAGCTTAAAATCTGTCATTTTATTAACTTGGAGCTCTTTTTAGAAATTTCTGTAAGATTTAAATTATAAGAGCAATGTGGGATATCATCCTTCCCACTCAAAGGTAGCTCATTATGGGGGCCCCTGGGTGGCTCAGTCAGTTAAGTGCCTGACTTCAGCTTGGGTCATGATCCAGGGGCCTGGGATTGAGCTCCACATGGGGCTCCCTGCTCAGTGGAGAGTCTGCTTCTCCCTTTCTCTCTCCCTCTGCCTCTCCCCTGCTCGTGCTGGCTCTCCCTCAAATAAATAAAATCTTAAAAAAAAAAAAAAAAGATCATTATGTTCTCTGGGAAATTCCCTAATGTAAAATGTGTTCAAAAAGGAAAAAAATCTTTAAAATACACCAGTTATCCTATAGTATAATATTAAACCAAGTATTATTATAGAGAAGAAGTTATATTGGTTTCCTTTTTCCTCTTAGAATTCTACCCTATTGCCAGAAATGGGCTGGTTTTCCCTTTGTTGTGCAAAATGACGGTGTCCTTGGGGAATGTTTGGATGCTCTTAGCAACAAGGAATCATCTGGTGTCAGCTCAGTTGTGTTGTCAACATTTCAACCGTGAGTAAAACCCATATATCCCAATGAAAGAGGAAAGCTTTTCCATATATATTTTCTTCTGGAGATCTTTATCCCTATGATCTCTGAAAATTGCTCCAGAAGATCAGGTTTTACCATCTAAAGTTCATTTTATTTAAAAGTTGATTCTTCTTAAGGTGTAAGTAACATCAGATGACCCCACAAACAAAGCATTATGACATCATCAGAACCAACAACCTGCTATGACATACTGATAAGAAAAGAGAGTTAACAGAATTCTTAATACTCCTCACAGCAGAACCAACATCTGGTCCCTTGGGCTTTATGTGTGTTAAAAATGACCTTGTTAAAAAGTCAAATGTTTTAACTATACAGTGTTTGAAGACAGGCTTACATATTTCCTTACAGTGTGGGGCTTACTATCACATAGGCAATAGGCAAAATGTCTGACAATACCAAAAGTGGGGTGAAGCTCTATTTAGGAGCAAAATTGGACAATCACTTTGGAAAACAGTTCAACAATAGTAAAATTAAAATTTCCCATACCCTTAAAGAATCTTTTTAATAGCACCATTTGCAATAAAATACACTTAACAGACATATTAAGCCAACGCAGTCATGTTAACTTTGTTTGGATCCTGATTCAAACCAACCGTAAAGAAGATATTTTTGAGACAACTGGAGAAACTTAAACATAAAATGCATATTAGATGATATTAGGGGATAATTATTATTTTTGTTAGATTTGATAATTTTTTGATTTCCACATCAATTACAAATGGCCATCATGTTCAAGGAGATGATTCTCCCTCATCTCACAAACTACCCCCTCCTCCTCCATCTCCATGGAGGACAAAAAAAAAAAAAAAAAAGAGGGCATACACAAGCTACTTATGTGCCTGAGGTGGTCCCCACCAATGCAAAAGTAGAGCCTATGACAGAGAGGACTAAAAGCAGCGAGACTTTCTGGGAGAAAAGGGGAGGAAATATGGGAAACCAGAGTCTAGTAACTTGAAGAACTCACAAAGTGATCACTGGGCAAATGCCACAATATTGATAATATAATGTGATTTATGAATGTTTGAGTTCTAGTGATTCACTAGACTGGAGAGTTAGGAGCTATCCTATGAGAATCCTCTTGCCAGAGTGTGAAGAGGCAGGGTTGAGGAGTCTTTGCTTGAGTCTATGTCTCCACAGATGGTTTGTTCATAGTCTCCTACTGGCTGATCTCATCAGAGAAATGTAGGCAGTTCAGTAACCATTAGCTTGTTAATTGTATGTTGAAAAAGGCACCAAGCTAAGAAGCCAATGCTTGTAGTCTTGTTCTAGCTCTGTCATTAATAAGCTTGGTCAGGGCTCTTAATCTCTCTGGGTTTATTTCTTTATCAATAAAATGAGCAAATCAGACTGCATAATCTTCAAGTTCTCTTCCAGATTTCAAATTCCATGTGCCTAGTAGAGATCATCAAAAATTTAAATGATATGTCCAAAATACTATCAGAAAAAGTCTAAGATAAAATGCAATGGGAATGGTGTACTATTTTGAATTTCAAAATCACATTTACAGATATACTAGGAATGAACTTGACTTCATTGTAATTTATGTAGACACACTGGGGGGCCTTAGTTAACAATTTTAAAATGCTAATGTAATCCAGTTGAGCTATAGATGGGATTTACTGAAGTAGCAAAACTCCAGATTCACAATTTAGAGTGGTACTTTAAGAAAAGCATAACCCAAACTAGTCATTTCATGTGAATCTCCTAATTAAGGACAAAGAAAATTAGCAAAATAACAAAGGGTTTATATGTGTGACCTAATCTGTGTGACTTATTCTAGATGTCAAAAATAGTTGATTCACATACATATCTGGCTTGTAAATAAAACTGTGAATCAAGAGAACTTTGTCTTCACTTTCTTCCCTTTGCCTATCCCTCTAACTAAAATTATTTTCCCCAGGTCTGTACTCCTTGAGCAACTTCCTTGTTTGCTTCTCCCCTAAACCTCTTATCAGACATGTTCTTAGCAAGTTATTCTTTTTGTCCATGGACTCACTCCACAGAAAAATGTGCATATTCATGAAATTTTGTGTTTCAGGGAGGTACCTGACCCTCAGAAGTTCATCCATCAGCAGAAATGTATAAATCTCAAGATAAGAACACCTTTACTGAAGAGGTAACCATCACTATAGATACCAGCTCAATCTCTTGACCTTTCAAAACCTGTCTTTTAAGTAGACATAATTTCATAGCTCTTGTTTTCTTTTGTTCACTTTTTTTTTTCCTGTCTTTCTGAAAAGCAGGGTGCTATGTGAAAGGCTCAGATTAGGAACCAGAGGAGTTAAATGCTTGCCTTGATCCTTCCAGGGGTGACACTTATGTTATTTAACAACAGATGTGGCACAGATGTAGCAAAGGTACCAACCAGGAAGAACAGAAGCCGCTCAATGTTGGGGCAAGGGCCAGGATGCTCCTTGCCCTGTGGACCAGATAATGTAATTTGATCATAGGGAGGCCTGGAGTGATTCAGAGAATTGAAAGGTGATTCTTTTGGGGATTTCAGGGAAGTGGCTATTTACTATTTACTATTTACACTATTGAAGTATTTCAGTGTTTTTTAGAACAGACATGTTCTAAAACTGGATTGTGGTGATGGTTACCCAACTGTATAAATTTACTCAAAATTATTGAGTAATTATTATGGGGGAAGTTTATGGTATATGAATTATACCCCAAAAAGCTATTTATTTTTATTTTTTTATTTTTTAAGTGATCTCTATGCCCAACATGGGGCTCAAACTCATGGCCCCAAGATCAAGAGTCGCATGCTTAATGGACTGAGCCAGCCAGTCAGCTCCCACCTCCCCAGTAAAGCTATCTTTAAAAAGGAAAAGACATTTCAAGATTTTAACACACCCATACCAGTACATTTTGGCTAGTCTTTGGACTGGCTCTCCCATTAATGGTATGAGACTAAAGGCTGGTCAGGTATCTCCCTGCATCTGGATTTTTTCATCTGTAAAATGGAGAGTCAATGATTTCTTCAAAGCTTTCCAGATAAGTTATTTTCCTTGTCAAAAATTCTATAATTGTTTCATCATAATTCATATTACCCTCTTTTGACCTGCTCATAAGGCCTTCATTGCCCCAACACATTGCCCCTTCTTCTACTCCTTAGGAGGGATGGCAGCCCTACTGATTTTGTCCTTGCCAGATAGTTCTTTCTCATCCTCTGATCTTACTTTCTGCCTTACTTCCCCATCCCATTTTTGTGCTCCCTTTTGCCTGATCTCTTACCATGTGTTAGAAAAGGCACTAGACTTAGAATCAAAAGGCCTCCATTTGAATCCAACTCAGCTACTTTTTAGTTTCACG